TTTAGTGAAGAAGTGTCTTCAAGTGTGCCGTAAAATCTTCAAGTATGGTGTTTTTGAAATGTGGAAAAAAATTCTAGTAACGTGAAAATTTTTCAGAAAAGTGTATCGTAATTCAGTTTATTTTGGTATAATGTGGTGTGTTCTATTATAAGGTATGAAAACCCGATCTCAAATAATGTCTACGGAAAAAAGTGAAACTGCAACGGGAAATGTGGATAAATTTCAGTGAGCCATCTTTGATGGCTCTAACAATGATGTTCCAGTTAACAAATATCTTTTATAATTTGAAAAGTAATGTGATGCCAAAAATATTGGAGATACGGACAGACCGTTAATATTTTCTCTGTGCCTCCCGAGGCGGGGCCTCATCTTTTTATCTTAGCGAATGTGTTAAATTAGACTGGTTAATAGTAAAGAATAAATTTCTTACGTATTTTGCCCATGCGGAAATTGTTAATTTTAATGATTTTTAAATATTGCTTATTCCAAATTCAATGACACTAAAAAATATTTTAGAGAAAAGCTTAAATATGCTACCAGTTTAAAATAAAATGGTACGATCTTAACTGATGCTTTGAACCAAGGACTTCCTGAGCAGCAGAGGATGTTGCTCACTGTGCAAAAAGTAAACACAATTCAAGAATGGATAACTTTGGCTAGAAACATTTTTCCTAATTCCAGTTGTTTTACCTCAGATTCAATGAAAGAAATACAAATTTTCCAACTCCTAAACAAAAAGTACCATCAAATACTTTCCAACCAAGGTTTTACCAGCCGAGATACAGGTCTCCAAGATCATTTTTCAATCCTAGATATAATAATCAGGTCTGGAGAAATTTCCAACCTCAGCAAATCACTTACCCATATAGATCATTTCCTTCTAAAAGTTATTACAATCAAAATTCTCAACAAACTGAGCAAAACAGGAAATGATTATATTTTGAAACAAGTGTTCATATTAATCAAAAAGAACTCCCGGCAATTACTGACACTTGGACTCAGATAAACGTAATTTCTAAAAATGTTTAAAATTCTATTGATGCAAAAACTGAAGTAGTACAAAATAATACTAAACTATGTTCAGTAGCAGGAGGTTTTGTTGTGACTAAAATAATTAAATTGTTGTGCAAAGTAGGTAAAATTAGTAATACTGTAGTGTTTCATATTTTAAATTTTAACCTAACTTATTTATTATTATCATCATGTTGTGTTTCCTTATTTAAATTACAATTAAAGTTTGATAATTATGAAGTGTATCAATTTAAACGTATGATAAGTAAAAGTGTTAAATAAACTGTTTCAGAATAATTTTGTGTATCAAAATAATGCAATTACTAAAAATTTTTATAATCATGCTGAAAATACTGAAGTTGGTAATGATCAATTACAAAAATTATTAAATAAATATAATCATATATTTTCTAAAAGTAAATATGATATAGATTGTATTACTATGGAACCTCCAAGAGTAATTTTAATCTCAGAATTACCTATAGCTTCTTAATTGTACACAGCCTCTCTCAGAGATAATAATGAAATTAAAAAGCAAATAGATGAACTGGTTAATGCTGGAATAATAAAACCCTCATATATTCCTTATGCTGCACCTTTAACTTAAGCTTATAAAAAAGATTAACAAACAAAATCTAGATTATGTATTAATTTTCAGAAACTTAACGAAATTACCAAAACTGATTCCAAGCTCATACCTAGAATTGATGCCGCATTAGATCAGTTAACAAATGCAAAAATTTTTCCACACTGGACATAGTATCAGGTTTTTAAAATATCAAATTAAATTTAAAATATACTGAAAAATTGACATAATTCCGGGAAACAAAGACGAGGAACTAGCTTGCCCTTGTTGTAGCTGAGCGTGAAGGCGCTTACAGATGAAAATAACAAAACATGAAATTGAAGAATTTCCAGTCTTTATTTCCACGCATTAAAATCATCTCCATAGATGTTCATCCAATCATAATGAAATACGATACATTTCTGATTCAATCATAACGAAATATGAGAAATTACTGTTTACATTGATTCTTAAAATTAAGACGCAAGAACTTTAGACAGGGATGGAAAGCAAGGAGACGAGAATGCAAAGCGAGGAGATTCAGGGAGACATCTCCCCCTGAATTCATCTGTTTTCTCAAATTCGAGATTTTTGTACGTTACGTAACGCTATTAACTAACCAATCATAGATTAGCTGTATTTGTACCTCAAACTTGGTATGAATACCACTGGCAGTTAATAGTAGCTCCCATCTTGCTAATATCTCCTCGCTTTGCATCCCCATCTAAAGTGCCTGCGTCTTAATTTTAATAATCAATGTAAATAGCAATTATCATATTTCATTATGATTGAATCATAGAAATGTATCGGATTTCATTATGATTGGATAAACATCTATGGAGATAATTTTATATGCGTGGAAATAAAGACTGGAAATTCTTCAAGTTCATGTTTTGTTATCTTTATATGTAATCCTTCACACTCAGCTACGACGTTTGCAAGATAATTCCTATTCCATGGTTCCCGGAATTATGTCATATATATATATAGAGAGAGAGCAAAATAGAGAGAAAAAAAGAAAAGAGTTTTAAAGAATTTGTAATTACCTCAGATTTGTACTAAATGTAATTTTTTGTTCAGTATGTCTATTTTAGTAACAGATCTTCGTAGTTCTGTTAGCAAGCACTCTGTGGAGTTGGGTAGCAGGATAAACAATTATTTGTAATATAATCGGAAACAGTTTTCTGTTTGTTTCTTTTAGAAATAAATGTTTCTCTACACACTGAATACTCACTTTGAGCTGCTAATTTGTGCAGTATGAGACTCTTTAATAAATCATGACAGTTGGCTCTAGTGGCGGGATTTTGAAAAAAAAAAAAAAAAATGTTTTGTTTTAAATTGTGCCCTTCCTGATCTTTAGAGCGAAGAAAACCATAGCTAACCAATACATCTCAAATATGCCTTTGATTTCATGCATCTTTTTTGCGCTCAGTAGTTTGCAATTGTATTAAATAACAGGAATAATTATTTTTATTGGGCACTCTTCATCAATTGATACAGATGTGACCCAAATGCAAAAATAAAGGAATTTAGAGACTTTTTTTTTTCGAATTCTTATGTATTTATAATTTGCCACTGTTACTTTTATTACACAATGAATAATGGCACTATATGACCTTCTACAATGCGTACTTTGTCCTGAAAGTTTAGTTTATTAAACCAATCATGTAGAGATTAAAGTCGATTCCGATTTTGACCGAGAGTACGCCGAACTGAAATTGAATTCGAGGTTCCAGGATTTTGCACCCTTTTTCTCTCTCACTCGAAAGACTTTCGAATCTCGAGATTAAAATTGCCTCCGCAGAAATCATATGATAATAAGTGCCCGTGAGTATACGCGATTTCATTCTAGTCGAACCCACATGGAAATCAGTTCATCTCCGCCAATTACCATACCAACCATACTATCGTATTTTTGTTTACAAACTTTAACGAATTATTAACAGCTAAACTTGTAAAAATAGAACATTGCGCATATTATTTGAAATTCATTTATTTTAATTTTAAGGAAAAGAATACATTCTTCTATAGTCATTAACGAAAACCAGTCTTCTTTCTCCAGTTAGTCCTTGAAATCAATAACTTCTTTGATATATCAGTCCCTTGTGATCAATAAAGTACATTAACTTTCCTATAATACATTATATTATTTACAAATGAACAAAAGGTTAATTAAGTAAGTTTTGATACATAATTGTGCTAAGTATCGTTCGCTTTAAGAGCTATTTTGTTTACAGCAAGATTTTTCTTTCCTTATCTTCTTTGTTTGATAAGTGAAAATATTTTCTAATTCCTTGTGTGAAGTAAAGGAAGTATTTTAGTGGCCGAAAATTTCGGGTATCACAGATATATCCATTTTGTTCGTGTTTTATCCATTTTGCCGAAATATCTATTTAGTACTTTTTTTTTTAGCTTGACGCCTTTAATTTCGGACAGAATAAAGGACTTTTTCCCCCGAAACGGATTGTAAAATCGATTTAATGTGGATTCGAAAACGATTTTTTCGTGACGTCTGTACTTTCGTCTACACCGTATGTAGTTATGTATGTTTGTATGCATGTATCTCGTATAACTCAAAAATGATTTGCCGTATAACGCTGAAATTTTGTAAATGGTGCTACTATATCATGTGCACCTCTCTTTTTTATTGCGATAAGCAATAAATATATCTCTTTTTTTATTGCATATAATCGAAGAATTAATTTCTTTCATGAAGCATAAATTTACATTTCAAATTTTTAAACTAATTTATACTTATATCAATGAAACGAACTTACTTAGAACTCATTTGATTCCTATCGTTTCCTTCACTTAAATGTATACTTTATCTACTTTAGACACTTCAAAACAAAGCGAGAATTTTACCAGCAAATATTTTCCGAAAATACGGACATGCCGTGAATATAAAATTCTGTTACATACCTTTGAAAAAATATATTTATTTCCTTTAAAAGCATTTCCTTTCTGCCCCAACTCCTCAAATTAATTTTAACATTCTTCTTCCGTTCTCACTCTGTCTAGAGAAAGGGAGGAGAAAGGAAAGAATGAAAATCATTACAACACTTTTTTGTTTCCTTTCCAGTTCTTTTCGTTCTCTATAATTGTCTAAGCGTGTTAGGGCAAAATCATATTCTACTTATGTCGTGTTATCAAGAGGTTGTCTTTAAATAAACAAATAAATAAAAACTCTTTCTATATATAACTTGGATTCTGTATCATCTGGCGTTGAAATCATATATACTTTTCTGAACTATTAAAAATTAAATCGAATGAATTGCAGTTTGTCATTTTATGAACAAATCCCACCGACTTATCTCTTTCACTGGGTTTAGTTAGAAAGAAAGGAGAGGAGGGAGGGAAGGCTAGTTGCAAGAAGGCGCACGAGTTTTACTTTCATTTTGATCCCATAGGCTGATTTAGTATGAAGCAACAGAGTGTGAGATTTTAATGACGCAGAACGCAGTCAACGGATGCTTCAGTTTGCTCTGTCAAGCAATAAGTACCATAGATATTGGAAGAAGGCGAGTCCGTTTGGGAAATTAAAGGTAAGATAACAACGAATTATTTTCAAAGATTCCTAGAAAATGCTGACATAGCAGATTGATTAAATGTTCTCAAGACTTAGTTACATTTTTGTGTTATTTTATAATTATATTCGGTTTAAGAACTAACCAGATGTTAGTCAAAGAGTTCTTGATTTGTAATGTCTTAGAATCTTGCATAATAAAAGATTTCACTCGCTAGATATTGCACAAAGAATTCTTGAACATGAATATATTTGCTCTTTTTAGAACATTTCAAATGTTAATTATAAAAAAATATCTATAGATTAAAAGGACACCATTAGATTTACCCTTCGTTATACGATAAACTAATTTTTCTCTCTTTTTTCTAAGTTACTTAAGCAGATCTTGGTTTTAGGATACAATCTAGTAATTAATTAAAATGTTTTAGGATTTTTAAGTCAAAATACTTTATAGCTTTGAAATTAAAATAGTTGATGATGTAAAGTATGATATAGGATTCGTAGAAATCAGAGTTTCTTAAACTGTGCGTCGCGATCCCCATGAAGGTTGCGCAGTTTTGATATTTCTTATTATAAAAATTTTATGATCACCAAATATTTTTACACAATGTGTCTGAAAATAGATAAAGATAAGACAATACAGTCAAAGAAAAAAAAGGAAAACGTTTCGACGTATTCTTTTTATATTGTTCTATGTCTTAAAATTAGAAATTAAAGTTAATGATCTAACGCTGCAATAGTATAGTACAGTACAAGTGAAAAAAATTGACGGTTACACTCGCGCGCGAGTCGGATTTGTGCAGTGATTATGGGGTTCAACAAAATTTTCGTAAATATTATGGGGTCCTGGGATCGCCAAGTGATAAAAAGGGGTCGCGACTGAAAAAAGTTTAAGAAGCCCTGGTATAAATGATTCATTGGGTTTTTAGTTCATTGGGTTATATTTAGAATTGCAAATTTAAAAAATGAGTACTTCATGAAATAAATTAAAATATATTTTAAATTTTAGTCATAGGATTTTAGATATTCAATGTACGTTCTTGTTACATATTAAAATCTCAGGTTCTACGTACATGCATTGTAACAATTCCCCATTCATAGTTGCCAAAGCAATTTTAATGCGGTCCTTTAATGTTGCTGACAGTGGAGCGTGTATATATTGTCTTTAATATTCCCTCGAAGGAATGTCGAGAGACCTTTATGGCCATCTTCCCCAAATCGAACAGTCCAATGACGTGGAAGTTCATCATTCAAATTACGATGTACGTCCTTGTGGCAATATTGAGCCTGTCTTAATGAAATATGAAATTTCTAAATCCTTTTTTGTCTGATGAAACACCCACAACTGCAACATTTTGAGGTACGGCATAACCATCACAGTGTTATCGAAGGAAACAAAGTTCTGTACATCGTTTTCTGTGAAATGACGTGGAAGATGTTTATTTCTGGTGACTTCTATCTTTCTCCCACGAGCAGGACATTTTCTATGCCCTATTATCCGGGTGTGATGAGTGTTTATTATTTCGCACGAAACTTTATTTCGTCAGTGAATGTTAGACATGCAGTAAAATTGGCATCTCACAGTTCTCCATACGCTTACAAAATTCGTATTGTTTGATATAATTATCAAGCTCTAAATGTACAACATCTGCAAATGGTAGGATTTCATTTCTAATCACCACCACTAAATTTTTTAAATGATTGATTACTGAATAAAAAGTTCGAGGATAGCGCGATTAATTAATTTTTGTAGGCTACACTCAAAATTTTCAGTAACGTTCTCTACTGTTTTATAAGAAAACGCTTGGTCGTCCGAGGAACTTCACAGAGGCAAGAAGGGTTTCTATTCATGACCTGCTGCGCAGTACTCTGGTAGCTTGGTGGATTTCTCTTGTATCGCCTTTCAAAGGTAGTTTAAGAGGTTTCGTGTACAGTAACAACAGATAAGCACATTGCAAATTCTAAAATACAATACACTTTCTGCTTTAAGCTCACCATTTGGAAAATGGAACTTATATTTGCTGCATTTGTGTATCGAAAGAAAGTCCGCAAACGATAATTCAAAACATTAAGAAGTTCTTTTTCGTTACTTATATATTTATACTTATTATTTATATATTCCATAACTTGGAAATTATAGCATTTCAGCAATCGGTGAATCATTTTTGATAAGCTTGCATTGGTAAAACATATTCTTACCTGATATGAATACTCGCAAATCACTCTGCAGTGGAAATTCATACAACATAATTCCGATCATTTGAGGCAATATGGACCGGTACAGCCTCAGACTACTCAAAATTTGATTAAATCCGTGGCTTTAGTTACTCAGAATAAAAACTACGGATATAAAAAAATGCAATAATTTTATAACGATAAGTATCACTTTTAAATCCTTTCATAACAATTTTGAGATTTTTCAGCTTTAGTAATTTTGATCTCAAAATATTTATCTTAACTTATTAAATTCAAATACATTAAAATAAAGTTTAAATTATAAAGTTAATCTTAAAATAAAGTTGTAAAATTAAAAAAAAAAATAAATCCGAATTAACAAGTTTCAAACCGAGTTAAATTTTTACTTAAAATACTTCTTACTTACTAATATATTTTCTCCTAGAAAGACATTTCTATTAGAAGTTGCAATTCGTTTATTAAAGAAAAATGCAATGATATCGCAGGGCTTAGCTTTCGCGCTCTTTTACATTTATATACCTTTTGGCTAGACTCGATGGCATCTTTAAAAACTTTCTGACTTCCATAAAACTCAGAATAAACTTAAATTAACAATAGTGCAGACAGGAAGATTAAATGTAATTAAGATTTATTGATAATCAGCCTGAGGTTACAAAGACTAAAAATATACAGACATAATATTATACTAAAAACTTTTACAGACTTCATAGAAATTTAAGGTACTACCAGTTACAATCAATGGAATCATCACACTTCTCCATGTTTACTCTCGTGGTATAAGTGGATAGTATGTATAGCTAGAAAATCCCGTGATTTCGAGTCCCAATAAAGACAAACTGATTTAACATAATCCCATGTTTCAAAAATGCTTAGTGTTCCTTACAGCGGCATCCAATTTAAAATTCGTACCCTCTGAATTTGGTCAATTGGATCTCATGCCCATTTTCAAACTCATTTTTATGTAGAAGAGAATAATAGGAATTATTGCATTCCGCCATGCCTATTATGGAACGAATAGTTAAGTTCAGCTAGCAGTCGGAAGATCTATGTTCCAACCCCGGCGAGGGCATAACTGATTTCTCGTAATGGTAGCTACACAGTAACGGTCTGCATTTACCAAGCACTTCTGGCTCTGGCATTTTCTCACTCCGACATGCATCTTCTGAGGTCAGAAAAAGAAATGCATTTTAATTTTGTACTTGCAGTCCAGATTACCTTATTATATGATTATGGTGGTTTGGTCGAATATAAGATGATGCTATTACTTTAAAATGCATCTGTGGAAAAAAAAAATTAAATGATTGTTTGTACATGTATTACATTTAAATACATCTTGATTTATTATTTGATCTCGAATTTTTGCATTAGAAACCTAGTTATTTAGTTTATTTCAAGATATGATACTTAAATAATTTTATTTGTTTTTGCAGAAACGTTTTAGTTTTATATATGTGTTTGGTCTTGTAGACAAACAATTTTTAAAAGCACCTTCATGGTTCAAAACTCAAGCAAAAACTGTCTGTCACATGTGCTTCATGGTGTCTTTTCAAATAGATGAAACATTCGCACATAAGAACATATTCATATGTTTCCTTACCTTTATGTGAAAGACTCAGTAGTATTTTAACGTTGTTGCTACACATGCTTTCTTTAATAGAAAAGTCTTAATAAAAGAATTTTAAGTTAATTTCTCCCTCATTTCTGCCTACCTTCGTGGTGTAAAGGTAGCACACTCGGGGCGTATTCGAGAGGTCCAGTCTCGAGTCCCGGTGAGGGCATTGCTCATTTTTTACGTCTCCCGCATCAAAAAAAAAAAAAAAAAAAAAAAAAAAAAAAAAAAAAAAAATCTAAAACATTCTACCTATGAAAGTAAGACAAGGAAAAACAAATTTCTAACATTTTAAAGAAATAGTTAAATAAATTTATGGTATGAATGTTTAGCACTTTTTCCATATATTGCTGCTTTATTTATGTTAGACTTATATTATTTAAACTACTTTGTAAAATGACTGTTTTATCTTTCCTCGGAGTTTTGTTTCATTTATCACTGTCAGTGCTCTAATTTTGGCTCTGTAACCCGTGACCTCTCAGCTATTCCGTCTCTCCAACAGAATTACAAAGGAGAGGTGGATGTACGTAGGTACTTTTTCTTACGTTGTTTCCTATTAAACTGATATTGTTTCCCACAGAATTAATACATTCATTATTTGGATCTAGAATAATTATTTCGTTTATATTGTAAGAATTATGTTAATTTTATTAACAGTTAAACTTTAAATTCCTTTCCTCTCGATTCTTAACTTCAACTTACTACTTCCGGCCAGAACGTAGTTTTAGAATCACGTCTGAATACATAATGAGGAAGAGCGGTATTTAACCGCGAAGTTCTTCGGTCTTAGTGAGAGAGTTCCCAGGTATTCTCTCTGCACGAGTCCGCCTTTTTAGGCTACTCTCTCATAAGCTATTATTACGCTCGGCCGTACTTTAGGCCCTTGATAGCTTCGCATCAATTAGTATTAATGGGCCAACTCGGTTAGAATCTTGATAGTTTTGGCTATATCTCTTTTAGTTTAGATTAGTTTTAGTTTAATTCTTAGCCTCATAAGTTCAAGCCCAAGTGTCGGCTTTTATTGTACACTCCAAGACGGAGTTCTGTTAAATCTTATTTGAATAAAGGGTTACTTACCCTTCCATTTTGTTGTTTCTTGTCACACGAACTCAAGCGATTATTCGCTTATCAGTTCTTAAGATTCTTTACGTTCAACTTTAACTTAGCATTTACAAAGTGAGGAATTCTACAATATAATGCTTATTATATTTTAT